TTCTTTTTTGAGACAGGGCCTTGCTCTGTCTCCTGGGCTACAGTGCAGTGGCATCTTCATAGCTCACTACAGCCTCAAACTCCTGGGCTCGAGTGATCCTCCTGCCTGCGAAGTAGCTGGGACTACAGGCTCTCATCAACACACCAAGCTAATTTTTCTATTTTTGGTAGAGACAGGGTCTCACTCTTGCTCAAGCTGGCCCCTAACTCCTGGCCTCAAGCGATCCTCCCGCCCCTGCCTCCCAAAGTACTAGGGTTACAGACATGAGCCACCATACAAGCCTCATTTCTTTATTATTCCAAAATTCTGGAACCATTTTTGTGGTCTACTGACTTATTTTAGCAGGCAGTTTCGATGAGTTTATTGTCATAAGTGAGTTCTCTTAGCTTTTCCACCTCTCTTCCAATGCAAATCACAATCAGGTATTTTTCTTATAGTGAAAGATACATAGGACCATGAATCAGATTATTTGTTTACTGTAACCAGCTCAACAAAGCACTGTTACTAAAAATTTTCCTTTTCTGCCCTGATCTTGGTTGAAACAGAATAAATAAATAATAAAATAAAATAAAAACTTTCCTAAGATACAGAAATAATTATACAGGCATCTTTTCCCACCAAACGAAACAAAACTACTTAGCATAAAGGCAAGACATAGCAGTTAACTTCTAAACTATAGCCAAAATCTCATAAAATTTAGAGATAGCATACAACTGCATTATATAGATATCAGTATAACTGTAAATGTGACAACTTGGGGACTGGGTGGGGGAACAAACCTTCAGGAAGCACAGACTGACTTGAAGTTTCAGAAGGGCTCATAAGATATATCGAGAGGTGCTGCAAGATCATTTATCCCTAAATGCTATTGAAAATCCTACTTTGTGATTGTATCTTCCTAAAGAGCAATCTGTCTCCATAGAGGGAAGGTGGAGTTGCCTTAAAGATTATATCCAAAGAGTCTTCCTTTTAGGATCTTTTTGATAGTCCACTTTTAAACTACTGAATTTTTAATATCTTGATTTACACTTTAAATATCCAACAGAAAAGTGCAGTGTGAAATGTTTCCCAAACTTAACCACAGACCTCCACTTTCAAGAAAGGCTATTAAAGAACACATCTGGGGAATTACCGGAAGAAATAACGGTCTTCTTGACCAAGTCTCTCGACCACGAAGACATAATTTCTTCAAAAAGATATCATTAACTATCCTAAATACTGACTCTGAAAACATACTTAAATAGATATTTTTCTAAAATGGTAACTTTATGTACCAAAAAAATAGATTTTTTTAAGTTTTAAATACATATTTTTTAAAAGTCAATATACCATTAAAATATTTTTCTTTCTTCATGAAGAAAGTGGATAATTAAAGGAGATTAATACTCTAGCAAGATCCCAGAGAGTATCCATGGCAGTGCATCAAGAAGATAAAAACTCTAGACTCTTTATCAGTCCCATGGGTTTTCCAATATCCAGCAGAGCTAAAGCTGCAACTTCTAGGGAAAAACAATGTTCCAGGTTAGTTATAGTATCTGTTTCAGTTTTTCCAAAAACATCTGATTCCCCTCCACCCAGGCGAGAAGGATGTATGAGGCATACCTCTGAGTGCCATGCCATCAGCAGCTGGGTACCATAATGGGGCTGTGATGTCATCAGCATTTTTTTTTCTTTTTAGAGACAGGGTCTCACTCTGTCTTCCAGGCTGGTATGCAGTGGCACAGTCATAGCTTACTGCAGTCGTTTTTTGTTTTTGTTTTCTGACTGCACCTTGAACTCCTGGGTTTAAGTGATCCTGCTGCCTCAGCCTCCCAAGTAGCTGGGACTTTGCACACACACTAAAATACCTGGCTAATTTTTCCTATTTTTTGTAGAGATGGGGGTTTTGCTGTGTTGCCCAGGCTGGTCTGGAATTCCTGGCCTGAAGAGATCCTCCTTCCTTTTCCTCCCAAAATGCTGGGATTACAGTCATGAGCCACCCATCTGGCTGATGACAGACTTTATGAAATGCCTCCGTGTGTGTGTCTGTGTGTACACAGAGGGAAAGAGAAATGGGGGGGTGGGTAGAGGAAAAGAGGAGGGGAGAGAAAGGAGTGACAGCGATCTCACCAGTAAGTGGCTTAAAGACTATCTTGTAAGCATTTTTTCATAGCTAAGGCTAAATCTACTTTCTTTCTCAGCCCTTAAAATTTTTCAGTCATATATGTATTACCTAGTGCCCAAGTGATGGCTATTGTTCAATCCAGCTCCTGTGTTATATAGGACCATTACAAGTGCATAGGGTCCTTGTGTAAGAATCAGACCAAGAGCACCCAGATCACAGGCTAGTTCTCAGTGCCCACTTAGCCTTGAGTAGGGTACCCTTGGGTACCATGTACAGCAGTCATGAAGAGTGGTACAAATATCTTTATACATTTAACTAGCATATCTGTACAATTGCTTATATGATGCACACCCACACATACTGAAACATGACTGAAAGAGTTGTCAAGGACTGAACTGAGTAAATGGAGAAAGATACTCATCAAAACTGAAAACAGGAAGTTTCAAAGAATTCAAAAGAAAAACCAGGTTCTTTTCCTTTCTCTCACCTTCACCTACCCAGTATTGGGATATTGTTGCTAGTTGGAACTTTAGGGACAAATAATAGGTAGAGGCTTCTATACTGCAAAATTCTGATCCCTCACAAAGCTATGGTCTCTCTTCAGCAGTTGGTCGCTCTCTCCTCAATTTCCCTCAAAAAAAAGAAGAAGAAGAAGAAAGAAGAAAAAAAAAAAAGGAGGAGGAGGAGCAAGAGGAAGAGGAGGAGGAAAGAGAGGGTGGGGAATAAAAAACATCACTGAAAGGCCGGGCGCGGTGGCTCACGCCTATAATCCTAGCTCTCTGGGAGGCCGAGGCGGGCAGATTGTTTGAGCTCAGGAGTTCAAAACCAGCCTGAGCAAGAGTGAGACCCCATCTCTACTAAAATTAGAAAGAAATTAATTGGACAACTAAAAATATATAGAAAAAATTAGCTGGGCATGGTGGCGCATGCCTGTAGTCCCAGCTACTTGGGAGGCTGAGGCAGGAGGATCGCTTGAGCCCAGGAGTTTGAGGTTGCTGGGAGCTAGGCTGACGCCACGGTACTCTAGCCCAGGCAACACAGTGAGACTCTGTCTCAAAAAAAAAAAAAAAAAAATCACTGAAGAAAAAAAAAAAACTCCACAGACACTAACAGATCTACTCATCTGAATTTGCAAAAACAGTAGTAAACAAAAGACTGTGGCTGTTTTGACTGCATTAAAAATCTGTAATCCCAGGCAGGAATATGCTAAATGCTGGAACTAGTCTTACAATGTTAACTCTGTCAATTCTGCTTCTTCCTGGAGCTTTTCCCTCCCAGATACCCAATACTCACATAGAAAAGAAAGAAAATTATTTTTGCTTACCATTGTACATGCATTTCTCTCCTATTAAACTCTACAATGATTGCCTTCCTTAAAAGGAAGGACATGTTATTACATTTTTAATATTTTTGTACCTAGCCCTTTGACCTGCATAACATAGCAGCTTCAATAGCTATTTAAGGTACAAAAATTCCAGGTTAAATATGGTACCTTATTCACATGCACAAGGAGACATGTACAAGAATATTCATTGCAGCATTGTTTATAAGAAGTTCAGAAGCAATCTAAATGTCCATTAAAGGGAGAATGCACAAATAAAGTACACTATATTCAAACAAAGGAAAACCATATTCATTAAAAATAGAAAGATTTTGAGCTGCCAGCTCACACTGAGGTATTATATGAATAAGTAACAAACATGATGCAGAATAAAAGAAAAGCAAGTTGTAGAATGATACAAATAGTATAATATTATTTATATAAGGGCTTTAAACTCTCAACATTAACCAGAATTATTTATGCTTAGAATTTGTTATTACAGTCCTGTTTATTCCTTGTATGCACACTAAAGACCTAAGGAATATTTGCTCTAAAAATAATAGAAAATCAAGGTTGAAAAAAAAAGTCTATTAATCATATAAAGTGTCCCCAAATGGCAGTGAGAGAGCCTGATTTAGTAATGGAAATCACTTAGCAGCCCTTGAAGTCAGATGATATGTGTTCTATCTCCATTCTACTACTCACCACGACACTTTATTTCACTGAGCTTCAGTTTTCTCACTTAAATGGGGTTGAGAGTGCCCACATCGTAGGATGAAGTCAAATAATTTATGTTAAAGTGTTATACACAAAGGTCTTAGACTTGTTTCTTGCCTAATCAGCCAAGATGTCATACAATAACGCTTTACAAGGAGGAAAACGCTGAATCTGCACCTTTTGCATCTACTTTACTATATGGTTAAAAAAAAAAAGTCAAAGAACACAATAGGAAGGGGCAGCCCCTCATCTTCATTGTCCCCAATTCCCTAGTTTGGCTGCCACCTATGTTTTCTATATTTAGCACAGAGTGCAAAAAAAAAAAAAAAAGAAAGAAAGAAAGAAAGAAAAACAACAAAAAAACCAGACACAAAACCGTGGTTTTTGGAGGGCTCCCTTCATAACTCCCCGTGACCCTGGTATAAATCTCCCATCCCGCCAAACTCCTGCCTCCCGCCAACAGGCACACACGCTCTGCAGCCCAGGAGGCAGCTGAACACCACAGTGCGAAGTCGTCGGCATTAGAAAGTTCTGAGGTTCTGTTTGTTTTCAAACATTAATAGAAAAGGCTACTGAGGACTGTTAGCGCCTACTCCGCAGAGAAACGAGGAAGACCTTGACAACTAAGTTCTGCTACTTGCTTCCAAACACACAGTGCCTGCATCTGGATTCCATACAAAGACAGGCATGCCAAGGCCGCAGGAGCGGCAGGCTCTCTTTGCAACAGGACAGACCCAGCGCTCACACCCTCCGGCACACGGGGACCCACCGACGCTGACGCACACCGCACACGCGTGATGCGCTCGGGGGCCCCATTCCCGTCCCCCTGGGCTGGCCTCGGCGGCCGCCGCACCTCACCTGTCTTGAAGACCATCTTGTCATCGTCTTTGGAGCCGAAGGTCTCCAGCATGGACACGAACAGCACCCCGCAGGCGTTCTGGATGCCGAACACCGACCCGTTGCACCACATGGCCGCCAGCATCACCAGCCAGCCCCAGCCGCCCTCGGGAGGCTCGGGAGGCTCACTGAGCTCCGCGTCCGCTGGCCCCGCCAGCTCCACCTCCACCTTCTCGGAGGCCGCCTCGGGGCCGTCTGAGGGGCCGGGACCGGGCAGCTCTGCTGCCCCCATGGGCGCGGGACCGAGGGGCTGCGCCTCACCTGTCCCCCGCGCGGCGGCGGGCTCCTCCTGGGAGGGCACCATGGCCCAAGCCGCCCCCCTCGGGCGCCAGAGGAGCGCGAGGGGCGCGAGCGAGGGGCGCGAGGTCCCAGCGGGCTCACGGAGGAGCTGCCGAGAGCCGGGCAGGCTGTTGAGGCCGAGGCGAGAGCGGCGAAGCCCGGGACGGGAGGGCCGCGCACGGCGTGGGGGCGGCCGCAAGGACAGCGGCGACGCGCGAGCGCCTCAGGGATCCAGACCGGAGCCTCACAATCCACAGCCCCGCACCCCTGACTGGGCCCGCGACCCGCGGCCGGTTCTTAAAAGCGCCCCCCGCCCGGCCAGCTGGGGGCGTGGCCGGCAGCGGGACGTGCCCCCAGAGCCTCCAGATGATTGGCCCGCGGGGAGCGGAGGCGGCCCGCAGGCGCGCGGCGCCAGGTGCCAGCGGCTGGCGGTGTCTATGAAGTTCCCCCAAATGGCAGTGAGAGAGCCTGATTTAGTCATGGAAATCACTTAGCAGCCCTGGAAGTCAGATGATATGTGCTCTATCTCCTCCTACCCGGAGAGGGTCACGGATGTGTAGGTCACCCCGCCTCAGAGTATTAACCGAAGGAGCGCCTCTCCTGCAAGGTGCGGGCTGGGTGGGCCTTAGCCTCAACTCACTGACACAGCATCACAACCAAACCAAAACTCTTGCTTTTGTTTCTGTTTTATTTTTTGGCATTCACCTCTCAGTACTAATTATAATATATCAGATACATTATGCCACCTGCCTACTCAAAAAGGAAGTCGGAAGGATCAGAGGGCTTGTTTAATTACTTCAGTTCCGTTCTCCTGCATTCATATACAATTTCCTATGAATACTTGGCACATTGAAGATGCTCATTTTGGAAGACACAGACTGCAATTCCAAAGTCTTCAACCAAAGAACATTTCTGACAGACAGCTAGAAAACATTACTTTTCAACTACAGTTCGATTATTTTCACTTTAAACAAAAGCTAGGTCGGGGATGGTGGCTCACGCCTGTAATCCCAGCGCTTTGGGAGGCTGAGGCAAGAGGATCACTTGAGATGGGGAGTTTGAGACCAGCCTGGGCAACATAGCAAGACCCTGTCTTTACCAAAAAAAAAAAATTTTTTTTTAATTAGCTAGGCCTGGTGGCAGGTGCCTGTAGTTCCAGCTACTCAAGAGGCTGAGGCGGGAGGATCCCTTATGCTCAGGAGTTCAAAATTACATTAATACTATTACATTAATGCAAGGTTACATCATACATACTATGATCATGCCACAGAGCAACAGAGAGAAGCCCTGTCTCTAAATAAACAAAAACAAAAACCTGCATTCAACTCTTCTGTCTCCCTGAAGCATGTAAAAGAAAGGAAGAGTAATTTATTATGCAATATTGAGGATGCTTTTTAATTTCTCAGTTATTCAAATTCTTCACTTCAAAGTCAAAATATGCTAGTTTCTTTATGTGCCCACCACTGTGATGGAGTACACAGATTGAGTGGGATTGATCCACGTTTCTCTATCAGTTCATAAGCTGGCAGGAAAAACAATCCTGGGATAGAATAAGAGGTTCGGATGGTAAGAGCTATAATACATGTACAAAGAGAGAGGTGGAATGGAGCCATTAAATTCTCTTCAAAAACACTAGAGAAGTGATTCTATAACAAGTAGTCTTTGAGCAGAGCCCTGACTCATACACAGGACTTCAGTGAGCAAAGATAGGACAATAGTATTCTATGTAGAGAAAATAGCATGAACTAAGGAAAGCAAGGTGTGCTTTCCAAACAGCGAACATAGCTCAAGTGTAATAAATATGCCTTGGGGATGGGGTTAGAATAGCAAACTAAGGAATAGTCACACAAGTGCACAAAAACGAATGTACAAGGATGTTACCCCAGTATTGTTGGAAATAAGAAAAAACTGGAAGCAAAAATGTACATTAGTAAAGGGTTAATTAAATACATACTTTATAATCTCTAAAAGTTACGATGGTCACCTGTATTTACAGACTTTGAAAGTTAGCCACAACATATTAATTATTGGGCAAAGAAAGCACATCAAAAAAACATATATGGATAAAGTATAACCCAAAATATAAAATAAATATTCATGAGCCAATACTGCTATAAGTAAATGATTAAGTAAATAAACAGGAGGTGGGGGAGAGAATAGACAAATCTCTCCTGCAGAAGAATTTCCAATAATTTATGTAGCTACTCCACCCTCAAGGTGTGAAGTACAATGCTTCACTCTGTAAGTGTGAGTATGCAGAGTGACTTCCTTCCAAAGAGTACGGTACGGAAAAGGGGAAAAGGAGCAACTTTAGAGTGCAGAAACTGACAAACAGTACCTCAGCCAGGTGATCAAATATGTATCCCTGATACGATGCAATGAAAATGGTACTTTACCTCTCTGGTCTTTCCCCTGAAACCCATAACCCCAGGCTAACCATCAGAAAAACATTAAACAAATCTCAATCTACATTCTACAAAGTACCTGATAAGTACTGCGCGACACTGTCAAGGTCATCAAAAACAAGGAAAGTCAGAAACTGTCACAGTGAGAGGAGCCTAAGGAGACGTGACGACTAAACGTAACGTGGTAACCGGGAAGGGTTTCTAGAGCAGAAAAAGAACATCAGGTAAAAACTAAGGAAATCTGAATAACGTGTGGACTTTAGTTAATAACAATGTATCAATATTGGTTTATTAATTATAACAAATGTGACATACTAACATAAAATGTTACTAACAGGAGAAATTGGATGAGAGGATATGGGCACTCTCCCTAATATCTTTGTAATTTTTCTACAAATCAAAAACTGTTTTTAAAAAGTTTATTTTTAAAAAGAGCATGTATCTAATGATCCCCTTCTTGTAAAAATAGATATGCGTATGTACATAACAATGTATTAAACACTATAAAGTTTATTTTTAAAGCTTCACTTTGTATATAATTGTTATACACTCATCCGTTGGTATTCGTGGGGGATTGGTTCCAGAATCTTCCTTGGCTACCAAATCCACAGATGTTTAGGATCCTGATATAAAATGCCCTAATGTTTGCATATAATCTAAGCACATCCTCCCAGAATCTTTAAATCATCTCTAGATTACTTATAATACCATGTAAATGCTATGTAAATAGTTGGTATACTGTATTGTTCAGTGAATGACAAGAAAAAAAGTCTGTACATGTTCAGTACAGACACAATTTTTTGCCAAATGTTTTTGATCCGCTGCTGGTTGAATCCATGGATGTGGATTCTGTGGATACACACACTGAGACTATGAAATATTTTTAAATATACAGTTCATTCTCAACATTCTTTCCTATTTATGCGTCAACATTATTTCTAAGCATTATGAAGTGTACCCTATCTTCAGATTAAAGTGTGACTTCTCAGAGGGGATTAATTTAGGAAGAGCTCTGATTTAAAGGATTAAAAAGTTAATGCCCAC